CAGCAATAAACAGGAATGAACTACTGATAAGAGCTACAATATGGGGGTGCCTGGGTGGCTCAGTCAGTAAGCATCTACCTTCGGCTCAGGTCATGATCCCAGGGTCCTGGGATTGAGCCCCGCATCGGGCTCCCTGCTCAGCAGGAAGCCTGCTTCTCCCTCTCCCACTCCCCCTGCTGTGTTCCCTCTCTCGCTGTGTCTCTCTCTCTCTCTCTGTCAAATAAATAAATAAATAAATCTTAAAAAAAAAAAAAGAGCTGCAATATGGATGACCCTGAAAAACATGCTAAGTGAAACAAGTCAGTCACAAGAAGCTACATATTGTATGATTATGGTTCCATTTCTATGACATGTTCAGCCACCCCCTCCCATGGCCAATTCCTGGACTTTATTACTGGAATTGTTTTAATTCTGAAATTTTTAACTTATGCCATTCTGTGTTCTTATCATCCTATTCTTTTAGCTTTCATTTATTACTTCTAGTACACCTGTCATTCTACCCCATTGAGACCTCCAGGCTTTTTATCTCTTCTCTTTATAGTTTGTCAACCCGCTCCTCTCTATATTTCTTCTATCTAGCTCAGACCAAATGGTCTATCACTTCAATTGTTCTCTTACCAATATTAACTCCCTTGTTCAAACGTCTTTCTATCCTGTCCATCTAAAAAAACTCCAACCCTGTAATTGTTCATGTATTCCATGCCTGCAACCAGATTATTGATTACCATTGAAGAAAATCATGCAAGTACCACCAAATATGGTTATCCACCTCTATTATGCTCAACTCAGCTTGCTTTCTCTAGGACTGCTATTTATAACCGTATTAATTTCATAAGGCTACCATAACAACAACAACAACAATAGAACACAAACACAGGTGGTTTAAAACAATGGAAATGTATTGTTTCGTAGTTCTAGAGGCTAGAAGTCCAAAATCAAGGTGTTGGCAGGACCATGCTCTATCTGAAGGCTCTAGGGGAGGATCTTTTCTTGCTTTTTCCTAGCTCTGGCAGTTGCCAGCAAACCTTGGTGTTTCTAGGTTAACAACTGCATAACTCCAATCTCTTCGTCTGTCATTTCATGATCTTCTCCCTATATGCCTGTCTCTGTGTCTCTTCTTTTCTAAAGACTCCAGTCATATTGCATGAGGGCCCAGCCTAATGACCTTATCTTAATTTGATTACATCTGCAAAGACCCTTTTGCCAAATACGATCATACTCACAGGTATGAGGGTCAGTGCTTAAACATAGTTTTGTCAGGGACACAATCCATAACAGGAGCCTTTTCTACATTCCTCAAACCTTGACTCTGACCCCTTCCTACTGTCTCTGAACAGATGGCCTCAACTCCTACTTCACAGAGAAAATAGAAATTAGAAGCCATCAGAATGAAACTTGACTTCCCACCACTCAACCAACAAATCTGCTTTTATCATATGTGTGTATCCTTCCTTCTTATCATTTCATGAAAGAATTCCTGCTTTTCCTATTTAAAGTTAATCTCTTAAGAGTTCTTCAGGGCACCTGGGTGGCTCAGTCAGTTAAACATCTGCCTTCGGCTCAGGTCATGATCCCAGGGTCCTGGGATCGAGCCCCACATCGGGCTCCCCACTCAGCGAGAAACCTGCATCTCCCTCTCCCTCTGCCTGCCGCTCCCCCTGCTTGTGTGCTCTCTCTCTCTCTGTCAAATAAATAAATAAAATCTTAAAAGAAAAAAAGAGTTCTCCAAACCTGACATGTATAATCTGACCTCATCAACTTCCTCTCAAAATGTCTTCCTCCTTCTGTGTTCTCTTTCATTGTTGTTCTTGAATGGCACACCTTCTACCCAGTTGCCAGAGGGAAAAAAGAAACACCACAGGATTCACCCTTGACTTTGTTTCTCCATTACTCTGTCCATCCCAACACTCCCAAGTCCTGCCTAACAGAGCAGAACCGCAACTTCCTTGGGTTTGTACACTACATGTCTATTAATGAAGCCTATACTTAATATTTGTGTTTAGGCACCCACATTATATTCAGTTGATTCAATTCAGTTCACAGCTACCTGTACTACTATCTCTTCCCCATCTGAAGTTGTGTGAAATCTCATTGTTTTACATACCATACTTGTATGGTTGGTTTCATGCATTCTGATGGACAATTTGACTTTTCCCCTTTATTTCATCTCCTTTGTTCAGCCTATTATATTATCATCCTAGCATCCTTTGGGGTCTTTATTTTCTCTTTCACTCATGCATGAAACTTGAGGACGTGGTCATTGCAAGATAAGAGAAGTCAGGTAAAGTGCTAAGCACAGTACCTGGCACATAATAAGCCCTTGATAAACATTTACAACTGTGATTGTTATTATTATCCCAACCCTCAGCACAGCATCTGAGCCATGGTAAGCCCTCAATAAATATTTATTGATTAGCGAATGAATGGATGGATTGAAGCCTGATGGAATGAATAAATATCCCCTCTCCCAAATCCCAGGCCCATTAAATTTGATATTATTATCCCTCTTTTACAGACAGAGAAACCAAGGCTTAGAGAGTTTCAGCTGGAAAGCGGTGGAACCAGAACTGGAATCCAGATCTGCCTGACTCCCCAGCATATGTGACTCACCCTTCCTTACTCAGCTTCCTTACATGTATACACAGATTAAAAAAACTAGCTGTGGGGTCAGAGTGAAGTCTGAGAGGTTTTCCAAGGTCGTGTGTCCAAACCCTAGAAAAGCAGAGTCTCCCGCATATGGCCCTGGGACACAGGGATGTGGAAGGGGCTAAGAGATGACATCAGAGCACTAGGAGCCTCACCTCTTTCCACCCCTATGGGCCTCTCATCTTCCCTGCCCTAACCTATACGCTTAGCTATTTCTCCCCAGAAACAAACATACTGTGTGTCCCCAAGGAGAAACTTTTAAGAGCAGGAAGGCAAGGCCTAGGAAGGTAATTTGACTACTCGCCAGGACCAGAGTCAGTGGCATGGAGAGCCCAAAAAAGTAGGAAGCATGGTACAAAGAATGTAAGACCCACAGGAGACCTGCATTACTTCTCTGGATGTCAGCTTCCTCATCTATAAAAGGGGGGGGTGGGGCGGGGTAATAGTCCTTTGCCCTGCCTGCTTCACAGGACTGTTGGAGACACAATAATGATAACCACTAATATTTACTGAGTGCCACCGCTGTGCTGGCCATTGTGTTGAGTGTCTTTCGTATCCGCAGTTAGCCCTATGAAATAGCATATTGTCTACCCTTCCCCCCTCCTTAGTTCCATCTCCCCACCCCGACAAATGAGGAAACCAAGGTTCATGGAATTAAGTTACTTGCCCAAGGCCTCTAACTCTAAGTGACAGATCTGAAATTTGAAACTGGGTTGCCTTTTGAGCCCTTCAGAGCTGTGAGCGTGTTTGTGAACCTCAGCGGAGAGCCCGTTTGTGAACCCCGAAGAATGATACACGCCTTGTGCCCTCTGGCACACAAGTGTTCCCTACAAGTCCGCATCTTGTTTTGATTGGGACTGGAGGTGGATGCCCAGTAGAGATCGTTGTCCAAGGAGGCAGCTGACCGGATGGTTAGGACAGAAGGGCTGTTTCCCACACTGATCTGATTGGATCCCCATGGTCTGGGGAGGAAAGGGGGGAGGGCACGAAGTCTGAGTGGCTCTTTTGTGAAAGCAAGTTCTAGGGCAGGTTGAGGTGGGAGAGGAAGCTCCTAGGTACCAAGCCAGACCACAACAGTCAATGCAGTGCCCAGGCCTGCAGCAGGAAGAGCACGGGGGCTGAGATGACAGGAAGCCCTCTGACAGGGCTCAGGCAGGGTGCCACTCCAGGCTGTCAGACTTTCCAAGAAAGGAGGGACACACGGCCCAGAAAATCAGTGCATGTAGGAGTCAGCCCCACCTGTGACCTCTTCATCCTCTGCCTCTCTCTCTCTCCCCACTCGGTTTCCAGCCCCCCTGCTTCTCCACTGCTCTCCCTGTGTCCACAGGCTTCTGGTTGGCTTCCCCGCTCTCCCCTCTCACACCAGAACTCTGTCTGCTGTGGCAGCTCCTTTGTTTACTGTCAGAGCTCACAGGCCTGCCACCGGCCAAACACAACGGAGCCTGGCCAGGGAGGGTTAGGCTCCAGGTGCAGACTGGCCCCTCAGGGACAGGTAATGGCCTCCAAACCAGGAAGGCAGCTCAAAGGTAGGCTGCCCCCTGCGCTGGGCTCTTGTTTCAGGTCCTGACAACCCAGGTTTCAGGCCTAGAGGAAAGGGACACAAGACCTGCCCATAGCTGGGCAGGCATCCCTACTGTTGAAACAGCTTTGGCTAGGAGCCCTGGGAATCAGAGACCCAGCTGGAAAGAGGTGGGGAAAATGTTGAGGCCCCTGGGTGGGAAGCAGAGGCCTAGACTCCCTTCCCCTGGTCCTCCCTCTCTTCGGCCAGGCAGAGTCTGGTCCTGAGCCCTTAGAATGAAGACTTGCACGCCCAAATTTCCCTACCAGAGGGCTCTGTTCCCCTTCCAAATGTTAGTGCCTCATGCCCCCCCTAAGGATTCTAGTGGATGAAGGGAAGTGGGCGTCTACTCTGGGCCAAACCCCAACAGGAACCATTGTCAGGATGTGTCTGGCATTGGTCTGTCCAAGGCTATTGGGGAGGTGACTTATCTAAATACATATGTAGTTATGTATTTGCATAATGTATAATGTAAAGGGGAGGGACTCCAACTCTGTTTCTGGAGCTAGGGTGAGGGGTAGGAGGTGATGGATGAGGAGGGAGGACTGGTAAAAGTGCCAAACTGGAGGGTAGCAGGGCCACAGGCAAGATCATTCAAGGAACAGTGGTCAGTGGCAAAAAGAAGATGCCCCAACAGGGGAGGAGGAGGTCCCTGGCAGACCAGGTTCCCCACTGAAAGGCCCTCTAAATGGTGGCCAGTTGATTCTGTGAGTATGTGGCGGGGGGGTGCAAATAGGTGAAAGAAATGGGGATGATTTTAGAGGAAATGAAATTCCCAATGTCCCTCCCATGTAAGGATCCATTTCGGAGGCAACAAGCTTGACTACGGAATGTCAAGTCTGTTGCCAGGCCCTAGAGGAGCAGACAGAGCTCCAGACCAACTGGCCTTTGGAAGGAACGGGAATGGGGTTAAAGGTAGTATTGGCCCTCCTCAGCCTGTACTCTCCCGTTCTGCTTCAGGCAACCCACCTCCCTTCCCTGGGCCAGTCATTCTTTGAGGGGTCACTGGGTCCCCTGGAATAAACAAGAAATTTGCCACAGTTTTAGTAACAGTTTTGCTTTTTATCTCATCAACGTACATTTTCATCTAACAGTCTAACAGCCTCACACTCCTCACCCCGGCCCAAGCCCTCACCCCCTCCGGCCCACCCCTGCCCAATCAGCATCTCATCTGCCCCAGGGGCAGGAAGTCACCAGGCACAGTGGTGATTCAAGGAGAGGGCAGCACCTGTGGGCTCTCCCAAGGGGAGCCCTCCGTGGAGAGTCCAGAAGCCAAAAAGGCCCAGGTAAGGAGAGGTTGAGGGCTGAGTCTCATTGGAAAGCAAGGTCTCCCGGGTCTCAGTCCCATTCAGTCTGTCTCCCTGGGTCTGTCCCTGCCAGTCAGAGCAGCAGCAGGGCAGAAATCCTCAGACAAGGGGACTTGTGGATAGAAAGGAACCTTGAACCCAGTCCCACTCAGAGAGTAAGAGCAAGGCTGTTGCAACCCCCTTTCACGCAGGCCGGGTAGATGCTCCTGGGTGCTGCCTCCCAACCTCTCTGATTCCAGGAGTGCAGGGACGGGCACTTGTGATCGGCATCCTGGGACGTGTCACCCAGGAAGACAGAGGGCCAGTGCTGCTACCTGCAGCCACAAGACTCCACGACCATGTCCTCATACTGCTTATAGACCACGTTGTTGGCGGAGTCAATGAAGAGGATGCTGATGGGACTCAGTCGTGTGGGCACACAGCAGGTTGGCGGTGTGGACTCGGGGTCCATGGAGTTCATCAGGGTCTGGATGACTGCATGGTTCGTGGGCTCCAGGTGGGAGCGCAAGGGGAACTCACATAGCCCCTCACAGTGGAAGGCCTCGTACTCAAGGGGTGCGATGATCCAGTCATCCCAGCCCATGTCCTTGAAGTTGACATGCAGTGCCTTCCGACTGCAGCGGGCCTTGGGGTTCTTGCTGGGCCGTTTGCCCTGGCGCGTGGCCAATGGGGCTCGCCTTTTTCGCCGCTGGCTGAACAGGTACTCGTACACCGTCTTATCGTCTTGACCCGAGCGGGCCTTAATCTCATTAAAGAACAGGTCCCGTTTCTTGGTGCGGCCAAATACCAGGAACAGGGCCTTCTCATGGACCTGCCTGGCCGCCCGGTCAAAGCCCAGGCCACGGAGGTCCACGGCCCGGCCCCGTTCCCAGGCCTCCAGCTCCAGGCACAGCTGGGCCGAGTTCTTAAAGTTTCGGAAGAGCTTCCAGATGTCGAACACCTCCCAGCCAGATCCGTCCAGGCCTGGCACGGAGCGCACATCCAGCAAGGCTGCCGGCTGCCGGCCGCTGGGGCAGCTGGACAGCTTCAGCTGGGCAGCCCGCCCGATGCCAGGGGCCACTGGCTTGGCCGCGTCCGAGGGCTTCTTCCGCAAGATCCGCAGCTCGGCCCCTAGCAGCCCATCCTTCTCCAGGGCACTAATGTCAAACACGTACCTCTGCTTTCTGACCACAGGACCTCGGTCATCTAGAGAGAACACCCAGAAGTCATTCCCTGCAACCTCACCAAGAGAGCCAGCCACCTCGGGGCCTCAGAGGAGGGCTATAGCTCTCTCCCCTCTGGAGACAGCTTTCTTTAACCTCTCCCCTACTCTGACAGAGGCCAAGACCCAAACCACTGAGAGCCTTTTTCAAAATAAGGGAGCTTCCTAAACAGCAAACCAAGTAGGGTTGTTTTTCCGTAGATGTGGCTGCGGTGATTTGAACGATTCCGGGTGTTTGTGTCAATGACAATGCATATCAGAGATGCATCAGCCTTAGAACTGCCTCTTGCTATCCCTCCCCATCTATTATCTCATATGATATCTTCGTTGGAGAGATAGGTGGAGTGGGTATTATAATTAGCTCTATTTTTTCCAGAGGAGGAATCTGAGGCTCAGAGGAGCTAGGTGACTTGCCCCAGATCACCCAGCTAGGAAAAAGCAGAGTTGGAACTCTAGGGTAGAACATCTTATACCCAATCCTGAGCTGCTCCCACTCCACCTTAAGGAAGATCTTGGTGTTCCCATTCTACGGATGAGGCACAGAGAGGGCAAGTGACTTGTGTAAGTTCACACAGATAGTTAACGATAAAGCTACAGTCCAATTTCCCTGGCTTCCTAGTCTGATGATTTTGTTGTGTACATGTCTTATCCTGCTGCGTGTATGAGCGTGTGTGTGTGCGCGTATATGTGAATAACGGGCTTATATGTGAATAAGAAAGGTAAAGTATAATGAGTGACATGCGTGTATGATTGCGCTTGTGTGAATATTTGAAAGATATGTATATGTGTGTGTGCATGCAAGACGATTCGGTGTGGACACGTAAGAGGGTGTGTGTTCACATGTGTACACGTGTGTGTGATTCAGCATGTGTGTATAAATATAAGGCTGTGTGTGTATGAGAAACTCTGTAGTGTGTCCAAATCAGCATACCCTCCTTCCTAAATACCAATTTGCTATTGGGAAGCTTTCATACATTGCTCTAGAAGGTGACTAATTAGGCCTTTAAACTCCCCATCTCCCCCTCTGCAAGCTCCCTTAGAGCTGGGGGGCACAAGGACTTATTTTATGAGCCCCCAAGGAGTCACAGCTTTCCCTGGCTGGGCAGGCAGCCAGGCCACCTCCCCCACCCCAGCCAGACCTGCTGCCTCCTGGTTCCTCCCACCGTGTCATTCCCCCACGGGCCAGCTCTAATGAGGAGCCTCTCCCCATCTCCGCCCCCTCCCCCACCCTGCCAGCCAAAGTCCCAAGCCTCACAGAACCAGAGTGTAAGAGCTGCGGGCAACCCTGGCAATGAGTAATCCAGCTCCCTCTTCACACTTACAGAGAAACTGAGGCCCTGAGAGGGGAAGGGACTTGCTGAGATCACACAGCAAGTGGGGAGGCAAAAGTCAAAACAGTAGCGCTAGGTGAGCATAGGGTGAGGTGAGGGGAACGGCCTCCCTCCCTCCCAAGTTGACGATAAAAATGATCTGTGTTTAGGACAGGACATAAAGTGTTCATTTTTGAAGGACTCTCAGAAATCCCCCGGCCCAACCCCCATAGAGTTGTGCAGATGGGGAAACCGAGACCCCACAGGGAAAAGGGACTCTCTCAAGGTCACATTGTGAGTTAGTCCCCTTGTCTGAGGATTTCTGCCCTGCTGCCGCTAAGTCTGCCACCCCCTAGCCCCCCACCCCCACACTGTACTTTTAAATGTCATTCCACAACTTCAAGATGCCCCATTTACTGTCTTCACCCATCCTGCCTCCTCTGGCCCTACCCTGAAGGCAAATTTGCAGAACCACGGGAATCTAGAAATTAATTTCTCTCTCTGCCATCTGAGAAAACCTACAAACCTCTGGAGCCTGGAAAGTCTGGCCAACCCACCTCAGAACAGAGCATGGCCTGGTAAGAGTCTTAAAGTATGGTCCCCAACTCTGCCACCAACTGGCAGGTCTTGTCTCCTCTCTGGGCTTCAGTAACCCCCTCTGCACCTTGCAGGAATTGGCTCTGACACGCCAGCAGCCTGGGACCGGGAATGTGGGAGGTAAGTCCCAGATACCACCCCAGGCCGATGCACACACTATCTCCCACCTGTGCAGTGTCGGGGCTCTAAAAGGCCCCTCCGCACATGCAGATGCCCCTCCCTCTCAGCCGTGCCCCTGCCACCCCACCCCCTCACCTTGCCCTTTGTCAATAAAGCTGGTGATGGTGTTGGCCAGGCCAGCCTCCAACTTCACGCTGCTGTTGCCTCCCTTTCTGTCAGCATCGGACAGCGTCCTGTACAGCGAGAGCATGTACTCGTGGGGCGTGATGGGGGGCGGGCGGAACGGCTCCTTGGGCTCTTGAGGGGGCCCAGTCTCCCTGGCCTTCTTCAGCAGGAAGGGGCTGGGGACAGATCCTGCCTTTGGAGGTGCCTTACCCCCAGGAAGCTGTCCTTTTGGGGTCACCATCCGCGTTGCCGCCTGCCTTGTCTGGGAAGGGTGTCCTGGCTTGGGTTCAGGGCCACCCGATCTGGGGGGCAGCTTTTTGGGTTCATCCTTCTTGGGCTGTGTCAGGCCTCCTGTCTGCCCGGTGCCCCCCTTTGCCCTGGCACTGGCGGCCCCCCCACCATAGCTGTGACCCCCCGGCCTAAAGATGCTCCGGGCCAGAGGGGGCCTCTCCTTGGCTTCTGCTTTGGCCAAGCCTGGCCTGGCCCCCTGGGGTCTCTGGCCCAAGTCAGGGGCACCCAACACAGTGCAGATGAATTCCAGGTCCAGCCAAGCCAGGTGCCAAAGCAAGAAAGTGAGGAGTTTGGGGAGTCTCATCCTCTGGCCAGCCGCTGAATGACACCAGAGAGAAGGGCGGCAGCAGCGAAGGTGCCTCTGGTTTGGCAGGAAAAACCATGAACCGAGTGGACCCTCAAAAGCAGCGGCAGCAGCAGGAGCAGCAGAAGGAAAGGCTTTCTCCTCAGTCTGAGACTCTTTAAGTCTGCCGGGTGTGTGTTTGTATCCAGTCCCATAGTGGAAATGCTCTCGTATCCAGACGTGCACCGTCTCTAGTCAGCAGCTGAAAATAACTCGTTCTTGAAAGGAGAAAGCCGACCGCCCCCTTTCTCCTGCACAACTGACTGAGGGCTTGAAGGAGGCTTGTATAAGGCTGAGGGATTTTTCCAAGAAGGAAGAATGGCGTAATGCTGCCTGTGTGCTCCAGTTTTTTTTTTTTTTTAAGTTTTGAATCCTTTCCAGTGAAAATATCTCTCACACACACACACACACACACACACACGCCTGCAGGTGCTCAGAAAAATCTTTTACAAACCTGAACTCAGGAATTGGAAACGGAATTCCAACCCAAACCAATTTAATTACTCTCTGATGTCATGCTGTCTAAACTCATTTAAGTGCGATATATTTATGTGAAAAAAATCACCGCTGCCCTTTCGAGGCCATGGCTCACGGGGGCTCTTGGCACAGAGCCCCGCAGCAGGGCTCTGGGCTTAGGGGGCCTCTCAGTCCGTGGAGCAGACTCAGGGGTCTTCACCTCCACCTCCAGGGGCAGCCCACCCCACCTTCCTGAGGAGAGATACTGAGGAATGAGCTCAAGATCTTAAGCCCCAGAAGCATGAGGAGTGTGGGTTTTCAGTTAAGTCCTTGGGGTGTTTTAAAGCAGTTTCAACTCCTTCGTCTAGTCTGGGGCCTGATTTGTTGTTGGGGGCGGTGGCAGAACAGATGGCAGCATTTACCCACAGTTGCTTTTATTTTAATAAACTTGTGGTGACCCAGAGACAGAAAAATATCTGTACCCACTACACCCCTCCCCCCAAGTGCCATTGACAGAGCTCAGATGATTTCTTCAGGCTTCAGGGCGCACTGTCACCCCCGAGCCCACTCCTTCAATGGAGGCAGGTCCAGGGTGTACCTCACTACTACCCCAGCAAAGACAGACTCCCGAGTTTTGTTGGGAAGGACTGGCTGAGTCCGGAGGTGGCAGCCTCAGCCTGGGGCAGCAGCGGCCCCTGCAGGAGGCTGGAAAAATGATTTCCCACTGGATGTTTTTCTGGTAGCTCTGGAAGAAGTCTGAATTTCAGCCGAACTCAGGGGGAAAGCTGTTCCCTTCACCTGAAACATCAACTCCCACAACTGGAGGAAGTCCGCCCCATCCTGAGAGCTTCAGCTGAAAACTCACCTCCTCTGGGAAGCCTTCCCTCATCCCCAGACAGAACCAACTACCCCCTCTTGTACCTGTCGCCGTTAACACTTGTCACACTGTAAGAAGCAGTGTAGAAGGAGTAATCAGGAACGCTTCCCTCTTAATCTGAGATCCTTTGAGCCTGCTTAATGGAGATCTGTTCTCACTCTAAGGTCACCACATTGGTTTCCCAGCATGACCTGGCACAGAGTAGAAGCTCAGCGAGTGTGTGATGAATGAAAGATGAAACCGGGCTGGGGTGTCCAGGTGCCTGACCAGCCTTTTCATGGTGATGCTCCCGGATCCTCGCTGATCTTCGGAGCACAACAGCATAACTTGGCCATTTCAAGCTTCTGTGGTACTCCTGGGCCAGAATACCCCGTAGGGCCCCACCTCCCTATCTCAAAGGACCAAGGCACCATCAGGCACTCTTTGGGGGAGCTTTAAGAAAGAGCTGAATTCATTACTATCCCCCCCAGTTGCCCAGATTCACAATACTTGGCTTCCCTTTGACTTGTCCACACTGAAGCAGTCATCTCTGACATTCCTGCCTCTTCTCCATCCCCCAGTGCCTCACTATCTAGGTCCTCACCACCTGTCCTACTATAATTACCTGGTAACTGGCTTCTAGGCGTCCAGGATCTCTCTGTTCCAATGCTCCCCTCTCTAAAACCTACCTATTGAAAAGTGCCAGCTCATGTGCCTTCTCTTCCACGAAGCCTTCTCCCACCCACCAGAAAATATGCACTCCTGAATTGCCATCATACATCTTCTGTGCTCCTTCCCGCTTTGGCAGCTCAGAGTTTACCCAGTTCTGCCTCTGCCCCCTGTTTTGAACACAGTTCATCTCTTCTACTCTGTGTATGTACTTTTTTTCATGTTTTTAAAATCATAACTTAATCCCTAACAACTGCAATAATTTATTTAAATTTCTGTCTCCCCCATTAGATGATGACTAGACTACCATATTTATCTCTCACTTATTCCCACTGCTGGGCATGGGGTCCAGCACATAGCAGATTCTCAGTGTGTGTGATATGGATGGACCTTATATACAAAAGCCATAATTTTCTACTTCAAAGTGTAATTACTTATGGACCTATCATGACTTCCCTGCTGGACTCTTGAGTTCCTTAAAAGAAGGGGTTCTGTCTTGCCGCTTATCAGGCACTTTGTAAGCTTGATTGGGTGAATAAATGAAGGGATGAAT